TGCTCCTTTCCTCTAGATGCTGCCTGGCCTGCTGTGTTCTTCCAGCCTCCTGTTTGTCTACCAGCTGATTCAGGTCATTATTTCAGACTTTGTTCTGAGGAAGGGTCACCGGACCCGAAACGTTAACTCTGTTTTTTTCCTTCACAGATGCTGCTGAGCTTTTCCAGCAACTTTGTTTCTGTTCCTGATTTACAGCATCCGCAGTTCTTTTGGTTTTTATTTAAACTAAATGACCTGACTGTTTTGACAGTTCCCTCGACATAAAAATGAGAGGAAACCTTTTTCCCTGAGCGACCTCGTTGTCCTGGCATGCCCCGTTTCCCTTCAGGTCCCTGTGGAGAGAGAAGCAAAACAATTTATTTAGTTTGGATTGAGAAGGTGCGAGACGTGTAAAAATCCCTGCCTCATAGCGATTCACGGCACATTAATTTCACCTTCATTATTATTTATCTCCCAGTAACTAAGAGGATACTTGATGCATATGGTTTCTTCACCTGTAACCATTTAAGGGTCTGTGTGCTTATGGCCTTTATTTACTGGTATGAGACCGCAGGGGGCAGACTGACTTGTGACACAATATGATTGAAAGCACATGGGCCGGGCAGTGGGGTTCTGACATGGACAGGGAACTGGCTGGCAGGCAGGAAACATGGGACAGGAGGGGATGGCTCTTTTTCCAAGTCACATCCAGTGACTATTTGTGTACCTCAGGCACCAGTGCTCGGACTCCAATGTTCACAATGTATCATGATGACTTAGATAACTGACCTAAAGGTAATATCTTCAAGTCTGTGGATGCCACGCATGTGAGGGTGAACTGTGAGGCGAACACCGAGATGATTCAGTGTGATTTTCACAAGTTGAGTGAGTGGGCAAATGCATGGCAGATGAAATATAGTGTGAATAAATGTGAGATTACCCATGTTGCTTGCGAAAACAGGAAGGCGGGTTAGTGTCTGAATGGCTACGGATTGGGAAAGGAGGAGGTGTAACAAGACCTGGGTGTCCTTGTACAGCAGCCGCTGACAGTAAACATGCAGGTACAGCAGGTGGTGAGGAAGGTGAATGGGGTGTTGGCCTTCGTAGTGAGAGGATTCGAGTACAGGAGAAGGGATGTCTTGCCGCAATTGTCCCGGGCTTTGGTGAGACCACAGCTGGAGTATTGTGTACAGTTTTAGTCTCTTTATCCGGGCAAGGATGTTCTGTGTACGAATGGAATGCAACAAAGATTTACCAGATAGGTTCCTGGGAATGGCAGCACTAATGTATAGAGAGAGATTGGATCAGTTAGGGCTATATTCATTGGAGTCTAGAAGAAATGGGGGAGTTGAGTCTCATAGAGACCTGTACAAGTCTAACAGGGCTAGACAAAGTAAACACAGGAAGGATGTTCCTGATGAATGGGGAGTCCAGACCAGGAGATACAGTGTAAGGATACAGGGTTGGACTGAGAGCCTGTGGAATTCTCTGCCACAGAAAGCAGTTGAGGCAAAACATTGAATGTTTTCAAGAAGGAGTTAGATATAGTTCTTAAAGCTAAAGGGATCAAAGGATCAGGGGAGAAAATGGGAACTGGGGAATGAGTTGGACGGTTAGCCATGATCATATTGAATGGTAGAACAGGCTCGAAGGGTAGAATGGCTTCCTCTTGTTCCTAGCTTCTGTGTTTCTATCCCATTACTTCTTCTCAAGTGGACAGGCAGAGCTAACCCTCACAGCCATGGAAGATATGAAAAGTTCCCTCTGTCTGTTCCCCACTCATGTGTCATGAGGAAAGGCTCGGCAATTGGAAAATGCAGGTGTAATTTATAAATACGAACACTAGTCAGTCAGACCCTCCAGGCAGCCACCCCACGCAACTAAATAATGGCTGATTTAAATCTTAACTCAACCTTCCCCAAACACCTTCTTCTGGACTATCCCACCTCCACACTAGAGGAAGCAGCTTTCCGTATGCCCCATGTGTATCACTTGAAGAAGATTTGACCTCTGGCCTGTGGCCTACAATAAAAAGCTAGTGACTGGCAGCAAGATAGTCTTTCAAAGGCAGGGGTTTAGAATATCCGACCAAGAACTTGGAAGTAAAACCTCAAACCCACAGCCAGGTTTTTCAGGAATGAAGTTAAGAAACATCCAAAGGATGACAAAACTTTGGAGAGTATTCCAGAAACAGGCAATTGATGCAGGCCAAGTGCTGGGAGGTAGCAGTAGAATAGGTGGCTAGCATGGATATGATGGGCTAAATGGCCTCTTTGTGTGCTGTAACTTTTCACAGACCACTCTTCATTTTACATTTGCAATTGATGGATTTTTGTTATCAAAAGGCTTTAAGGGATATGGGATAGAGGCAGGTGTAAGGAATTTGGTAAGAGATGGAATAGGTACAAGGGGCTGAATGGCCTCCTGTTACTGCGAATTATCACAAACCAACATAAAAAAAGCAATCAAATATTAGTCATTGGTTGATGCGCATGAGCCACAGCACAATGTTTAACAACAGAAATTTACTGGTTTCCTTTGTTTGACACCAATTTGAGAATTATACAATTGATATCCAGACGTTGCTGAAACTGTTTATCCTGCACTCATCAAGACAAATGCAAGAACGCCAAATTTCAAAGGATCACAACCATTTATACCGCAGGAGAGAAAAGGCACGGATTTCTAAAATTTGTTCGAGGAATGTTGGTGTTGCTGGCTGGGCCAACATTTATTGCCCATTCCTAGTTGCCCTTGAGGAGGCGGTAGTGAGCTACCGTCTCGAAGGTAGGTACATACAGAGTGGTGTTAGGAAAGGATTTTGACCCAGTGACACTGACAGAATGACAATATCGCTCCAGGTCAGGATGGTGTGACACAATGTGATACTTATTGCCAAGGTGTTGCCTTAGAGAAAACAGTGGGAGCTTTAGGTTCATTTATGCTCACTAGAAGTAACATACATTCCACTCTGCAAACAAAAGGGATATGGTCAAGCCTTTCTGGAATTATTGAGGGGCTTGAGGAGCCTTTAGAGTCATAGGGTGATACAGTAATACAGCATGGAAACAGGCCCTTTGGCACAAACTGGTCCAGGCTGACCATGGTGCCCGCTCAGCTGGTTCCAATTGGCCACATTTGGTCCATATCCCCCTAAACCCTTCTCATCCATGTACCTATCCAAATGGTTTTGAAACGTTGCTTTTGTACCTGCCTCAACCACTTTCTCTGGCAACCCATTCCATATACACACCACTCTCTGTGTGAAGAAATTGCCCCTCAGGTCCTTCTAAAATCTTTCCCCCCTCACCTTAAACCTCTGCCCTCTACTTTTCTATTCCCCATCCCCGGGAAAAAGACTGTATGCATTCATCCTATCTATGCCCCTCATGATTTTATACACCTCAATAAGGTCATCCATCATTCTCCTACTTTCCAAGGAATAAAGTCCTATCCTGGCCAACCTCTCCCTATAACTCAGGGCCTACTAGTTCTGGCAACATCCTCATAAATCTTCTTCGCACACTTTCCAGTTTAACAATGTCTTTCCTATAACAGGGTGACCAAAACTGTACATAATGCTCCAAGTGCGGCCTCACCAATGACTTATACAACTGTAACATAACATCCCAACTCCTATACTCAATGCCTCGGCCGATGAAGGCCAACATGCTAAATGCCTTCTTCACCACCCTGTTCACCTGTGACGCCGCTTTCAACAAACTACGTACTTGTACTCCTAGAACCCTCTGTTCCACAACACTCCTCAGGACCTTACCATTTACTGTATAAGTCCTATCTTGGTTTGACTTTCCAAAGTGCAACACATCACAGTTATCAGTATTGAATTGCATTTGTCAATCCTCACCCCACTTCCTCAACTGATCAAGATCTCTCCGTAATTTTTGATAACTTTCCTCGCTATTAATGATACCTCCTAATTTTGTATCATCCGCAAACTTACTAATCATGCCTTGTACATTCACATCCAGGTCATTTATGTAAATAACTAATAACAAAGGGTTTAGTTCCCCACTGGTTTCTCTACAGCAAGACCTTGTTCAAAAACAGTAATCATGCCAGCCAAGGTGAAAAGCTTTGGTGACTTCAGCGAGAGACATTTTCCAGGCTATGGACTTACCGGCATTCCATTAATTCCAGGTGGTCCGACTGCACCAGCAACTCCCCGAGCCCCAGTGTCACCTTTCTCCCCCATCTCCCCCTTCGGACCTGGATCGCCCTGTTCACCCTGCAATGACAACAAACTCCTTATTAACACCAGCAAACTCAAGTCTTCATTACTCTTAGTAATCATTACTCTCTGTTAGATCAATCATTACCATTAGTAATCATTACTCTCTGTTAGATCAATCATTACC